CAAAGTTCTAATAGTCGGCCTCTGAAATTTATCAAGCCGTATTCGTAAAATTGCACAAATATTCTCATTTCGCGAGTAGCAGGCTTCAAAATGATAGTTGAAACTTATACATTTATTATATCATCACACATTAATTATAAGATTATTATATTATTATATAATAATCTTATAATTATCAACAATATTATTATTATTTCTTCCAAATCACACGTCAATTTTGAATCTAGATTTATATGTTAATAATGCGTAAATCTCTTTTTTCACGTAATATCGTATACGATAATAACTATATTATATATAAAGTTATTCGGTAGATTCCGAATAAGTAACTTTTTGGAGCATCCGAATAAGTTAAGAACATAACATCTCCCGCGGACATCAGCCGCAGATAGCGCGAATAAGCGAGTAAGCGCTTGCCGATGACGTTTCGAAATTCAAACGACATTTTCAGGAAAATTCGCTTATCCGTATAAATCCGGCAGCGAAGTCTCTAAGTGGCTTACGTTACCGGCGTCCGAAATACATATGTGCGGAAAGAGTTTCACAACAAATTTATCAAAGTCAGGCCGGGCCGCGACTTCGTTTGCATCTTACGCCGAAGAATTCGTTAGTGAAATTCTCAAATCCAAATGAAAAGCTCGTAGAGAACTTTGCGAGGCACGATACCGCGACCGCGGAAGTTTTCAGAGTCCGACAACTCAGTATGGATTTGCAAGGGGAATTTGAGACAACGAGAAGTTTTCCGTTTGCGAGAATTTCATTAAGAGCTTGTTAAGCGCGTAAGGTTTTTATTGTGTCACGTTACAATTGTTTCGCGAGTACATTTTACACAGCTTCGTTCTCCGCGAGGTTTCAAAGTTCCTCATTCGGACATATCAACGTGTCAATGAGCGTAGTAAACAAAATGGATTAATTAATCCGGAGCGATCGCGATGATAAATGCGATATCGAAATATATGTTTTAATCACAGACTCGATAATTCCCGCAAATTGTGAAGGTCATAATTACTCGTCCAACAGATATCATTTTAAATCACGAAGTAAACGAAGTAATCACAATTGCCAGGCGTACTGATGAAAATATCATTAGCGCTGCACTTAGTGTTTTCTCCAGCTACGCAACGCAGTTTTCTGTTTCGTGAGCAAGCTACGTTCGAATTAAGGGGACGAAAAATGACGTCCCGAAAGCCGACAAAGCGGCCGCGTAACGGCCGTTTATTAAATCCGCGTCTTAGCAACGAGGCGGGGGGTGCTTGAATCGGAGCGCAGCGCAGCGGGGTAGACGTTGCATTATGTATACGATGCCTGGTTTGAGCAAATCACAGGGGGGCGTCTAGAGCAAGACGAAGAGAGAGATAACGCGATAGTGGGATAGACGAATGAATACGATATTGTTACTATCCGGGTCGACCGCCGCGAGTTTTGCCTCGTTCTTCCGTCATTCTTCGCATACTATGTCCGCGCTTCAATGCTGCCACGAATAACAGTTTGACTCGACCGTGGAATAAATTAGCCAGGGAATTCGAGCTTCCGCGAGCAGCAGAGGAGTGGGAAGCGCGCTGGACTGACGTGGGGAAGGGAGAGCAGAGAGACGTGTCAGAGCGGGGAAAACGCTCGGAACGACGGTGAAAAAAAAGGGAGGGTGGAAGTAGGTAAAACACGGGCACGGGCTCGGATATCAAGAAACAGGGGTACTTTGCCCCTTAGGCGGTCCTTAATAATAAATTCATATCTCGGCCCCATCGCGCGCTCTCGGCCTCTCCCCCTTACTTTTTACTGCCGCCGAGACGAGCTCCGGCGGCAACCGGAATCGTCGTCCTCGCTTCGCGGGCGCGACGACTCCTCAGGAGAAGCGTGTCCCGTCCGTGTCTCCTTCAGTCGGTCTACAAATCTCCTTTTTATGCCGCTTAATAAAACTCGTCCGACATATCTCTAACTACCGCCACTTAATTTCGACCGGGTCGACCTTTTCCGCCTCTCTGACGAAACGCGCGTCGGGGGTTTCGTTATTTCACCGTCGGCTGTCGGTGATTGTACCGAAGCGGGTATGGTTTGTTTGCTTCTTTCCTTTCTTTCTTTCTCTTTCTACTCCTCCTCTCTCTGGACCGTCACGCACCCCCTTTGCCCAGCCTCCGCTGGACCTTTTCAAAGTTATTTCTCCGCTTCTCCTTTGGAGAAGCTTCGAGAAATTCGAATTCCTTTCTAGCCCGGCTTTTTCTTCGTGTTTTCATCTTCCCGCTTGTAGACGGAACAATGGAATGGTCACAATCGAATCAAAATCGGCGACTCTAAATGGACGGGAAAGCGCGCGTATCTCTCCTTATTTGTTGTTTATTTTTCCGCCCGAGACGAGAATGTTAATTTTCGATTCGCGTCAAAATTTAGCTTATAGAATCTCACATGATACATTGCGGTTTGTTTCAAACATTTTTCCAAAGATCCCTCTCATAAGAAAAATATGTTACGTCCCTTTATAATTTTTTAAAATTTCTTTATCGCATAAGTGCATTACGGTGTACGTGGAAAAAATAAACTCTAAGCGTAAAGCGCACGAGCGATAAATAGGTTGTGTGTATGGTATTAGTAATCATGGATGCAAGTTCATTTTGCTGTTGTATGGAATAAATAGCAATTACGCGTCTCGGAGCAGAATATACGATGCTCGTATACGACTCCGTAACGCATTCGATTATGGGGCGTGACTCTTAGCGCGCTTAATCCTGCGTCCCTTTCGGGGATACCAATAATTCAGTATTAGCGACATGCCGATAGCCCAACGAATCGTCTAGCCGAAATGCAGGATTTGGTCAGTTTTGCGAATGCGTGCAAACGCTTTTCACAATAAATCATCACGTAGCCGTTGCGCGTCACGCTGTAGTCAATGTTACTTTTAATTTTGTCAGAGCGACAGAAAAAGCGTTTTTCGAAAAAGATGCGCCAGAACCAAAAATGGCAGGTCTGAAAAATTCCACCTTCATTTACACAGTCATACAGGTGATATGTGCAATTTTTGATTTTCCAACTGCAATGATAATTGCGTCGTTTAAACATATTATCAATTATACGATTTAAAGATAAATACGATTTTTCGCAATTAAAAGAATACCTTTGAAAAGTTCATTTTTTTCTTACTTTGACAATTTAGAAACGACTGTAGTATATATTCTTATTTCAAGGAAACTATTTACTTTTATTTAACTTTTCTTATATAAATAATTTAGATATTCAAAAATATCTAATTTGTTAAATATAATTAGATTTACACGGTGCGCGGATACACACGTGTACACGATATATACATTGCGATCCATAGAAGAACGGAAGACAGATGGATGGGAGAAACTGACTGCAAAATAGATAGCATCGCATTCAACGGACAATCCTTTTCGTTTTTTGTTTTTTATCGGATCGGGCAAGGTTTACTCTCCGCCACCTCCTCTCTTGTCGGTAGTCTTTTATGCTAAACTAAACGCTCACATTCATTTGAATGTCGCTAATGCGAAAGACCGATCCGTACTAATGGAGTGATCTCTCCATATTCGTTTTCGCGAGCGTCATTGATTCTATTTGCTTCCTATATATCTCTGATTCATACTTTTCCTCGGGACTCTGTAAAATACACGAATATATCGTCCATATATTTCGCATCTGTAGCGATAAGACCGAAACACATTCGGTCGCTTTGGATATATGCAGCGAGAGTCGCGAGTTATTTAGAGTATTATTCGAAACTGGAAATTCTCGAAAGCCCCGAACCACATTTTTTAAAGAATAGAAATGAATGTTAAAAAAACTTTTTATTTTTCAACTTTTCAACTATAGTCACGACGTAATCATAACGCATATGTTCGTCGTATGCATACATTCACACGTATTTTCCTCCATCTATTTATCAATGCATAAACATTCGAGGCTTTTGATAGATTTAATTCTGTACAAAAAAAAGGTCTGGTAGTATTAACCAGAAATGGAACAACCAGATGCATTTTGGTTCAAGGAAAAAGAATTTCTGGTTATAAGAATCATATTTGGGTCATAAAAACCAGAAATTCTGATTCCTTCAATCAGAACGCATCTGGTTGTTTCCTTTCTGGTTAATATAACTAAATTTTTTTCCGTGTGGACTTTTACAAATTGTCGAAATAAGGAATTCTGGTATTGCGATGAATATATCATGAAATTATAAATCACGAAGAAAAGGCGCGCACGTATTACGTTTCCAGTACATATAGTTTCTTACATGTCGTAGGTAGAATTCTTAACTTTGTCAATCGTACGCGTTTTATTCTTTCGACTTATTTCGCATACCATAAAACTACATATAATACAAAAACCAGGTTGCACACTCACGGCGAAACGTGATGAAAATTTAAATTAATCTACGTATACCTCCTAAATGCATCACATATCCACACACACACACACACACACACACACACACACACACACACACACACACACACACACATATATATATATATATATATATGTGTGAAAAGTACTTTGTTCTCTAGAAAAAAATACTCCACTTGCGAAAAGACAAGCGAAACGATATCTAAGCTTGTAGGACGACATTAGAACTACTGGTATCTGTACATAGTCGCGTTTAATTGCAGCCAACAGTGTTGCAATTTAATTCAAGGCGAGTGCCGTCGCGAATCGCGATCTGTCGGCAAATATTAGACGGAGGTAATTAACGTGGGTATATTTGGTCTATGAGAAAGATCGTCACACGCGCGCGCTGCGGAGTTAACCGTGTCAAACCGCGCTCGACTCGACGCGTCGTCGCCCGAAGAAACCACGGTGTATCCCGTCAATGGGTGTGCCGTAGAAATTATGTAGTTCGTTGAGACCCGACATCTTCGTCGACTTCGTAAACAAGCGGGGAATGACAGCGCGACGTTAAACGCGCCAAACAGCTCAGCGACGAACCGTCATTACCTCGGTAAACGCTACCACGGATAGCTGCGGGGCGCGTGTAAGCAAAACGAGACACTTACTGTACAGACGAATCGTTCCGTCGGTTTCTCCGCGTGGATTCTTGGCGATGCACTTGTAGCTACCGTAGTCTTCTTTCTGCAAGAAAAAGAAAAGATAAGGAGGAGTTAGTGAAACCGAGAAAATTTTACTCGGGCAATTGTAACAAGATATTTTTTTTATATTGCTTTTCGTATAGTGAGCAACCATTACTTTCGTACAGTGAGGAAACATTAGACCAACATTTTCAAACGTTGTTCCCGGTATACAAAAATTTCAATTAGTAGCAATGTAATTAGAAAATTTAATTTCACATTTGGCGTGCGAATATAATTCGAGCGTTATCGCTACTTGGTGTTTAATATTGAGCGTTAGTGCTACTTAATGTTTAATATCGCGTCTTTCAGACCGCTAATATCGTTATTGTTAGGTAATGGTAAATTAATTCGACGTATATACCGCCGTACACAAACAATGATATCGTCCAATCCTATTTCGTACCGATATACCGAACGAGTAGTTTACTGCGTCCATCATCCGTCGGCATGCGACGATAGTGATTTACGAGATGACGTTATCACTCAATCGCAAATTTTAAAGCCGTGTACGTAATTAAGTCACGCAGTTTTTTACAGCAGGTATATATCGCGTTTTTCTCCATTATCACGCGATTGTTGAATTAATTTTCGCAAAGGCGAAACGCGAAAATTTATTTCGTTTATTTCGCTCAGTATTTCCTTTATCCGTTACACTCGTGAGAAAATGAAATATACAATTTTATTCTCGTATTGAGAATGAAACTATTTCAGATCACACAGATACGTCGTCGAAGTTTTTCGAATTTTCGGGCTTTCTGTCCCCCTTTTTTTTATTTCAAGAACAATGCACTCTATTCGACAGCATCGTCGATCGTAGGCGGAACATACGAAGAGACATTCGTTCACCTGTATGTCGAATATCGTGAGCGTCATGTGCATTTTGTAGGACGGTCTGTCGGGCGACGACGTAGCCTTGTATTTGCTGCTCTCGTGAATCATTAGGCCGTCCTCCCTCGCCCAGTAATTCAAAGAAGTCGGATGAGCCTCGGTGTAGCATTCCAGCGTAACGGAGTAACCCAAGGGCGCGCCGACCAATTGGTGCGGTATCCAGAGCATAGGGGGGACTGCAACAGCAGAAGTGATTGATTGGCTCATAAATGTTCCAATTACTAACAATACACGATGGGCCTACGATCGATATCCCTTCCGCGCGTCTATAAATCTCGAAGCCTGGCTCGGCGCTCGTTGCGCGAGCATGAACGCGCGCTCCAGCGCCAGCGTGAAGAATGATCCGAGACAATCGCGAGCTTTTCCGACAACTCCGTTTTGGGATGTAATTGGATGAATCATCGCGAGATGGAATCTGGGTTCACTCTCAATTTGGAATTGTGAATCGTATATGAACGCATTTTCATGAAAAAGACATAACGATTGAACGCATTTCAATAACTCGTTAATGATTAAAGCTCGCGAGTGAGAAAGAAAGAGAACGGTACTAAATTAAAGGAAAGAAATATTATATTTAGTATCGTTTTTGTATTCGTATGTAAAATGCGTAAAATATGAAAATCATCTTTTGTAAATTATGATAAGCTTATTATTAAGTTATAATGTCATACGCGTGCACACATCACACGTATTATCGGTTTTATAAATATAATTAAAAGAAGACATATCTGTGAAAACAAATTTTGTTTCGTAACTATCGTAAGATCGAAACTTTGCATTTTCGTGGATCGGTTACGACGCGGTGTTCTTCGAAGTTTTATATAATCGTAGCACGGGCAAGGGGCTTAATTTTTGCTATATGCCATGAAACTTAAATGCGTATCACGCGACCCTTTAATAAAAAAGTAATCCTATTTCGATGAACAGCTTCTGGCGTTGTTGTCGGCGACGGTGATAACATTTCCTCCTCTGAGGTAAGAGCGCCTCAATTTAACTTAAACCTCCTAAGAATATACCTAAACCATCTTCTCACAGCGTGTCGCAATATTCGTGAGGAAAATATTACACAGAACGAGATGGTTACAAATGGATGAATGCAAGCAATAAAAATATCAAGAAAGGCCTAACACGACATTCTTTTAATTTTTTTTAAAGGCCATAATCGAAAATATTATCCGTAACAAAAAGAAATCGGCGAAGAAAATTGATTTGACATGAAATATTGGAATCGGTGTCACAGTGAGAGAAAGCGCCCAAAATCGTTGTAGATGTAAGTGGTTTTAGAATTTAAACAATATCCTTTCTTCAATGGTCTTTCTCGGGCGGGAGAAGGTGACTCCACAAATTCCACGGAGAATTAAATGCTCTCTTTTCTCGGTACCAAAAATACTCGAGGATTCGTTTTATAGAACAAGAGACTTTTGCGTGCAATAGATGGGCAGTAACTAAGTTTTACGGCTAAATTGCATTTTCGGAATAACACGACTCAATTATCGGTGAACTGAAATCTTCGTTCGTCTTCTCTTGTACGTGTCTATCTCGTGATTTATGAGGTACGCAGTCAAGCAGTCGGGTTATATTTTGAAATAAAATCATTTTTAGTGCTATTACACAAGTTCCTTTTTTTAACCTAGTAATATTGTGTGATTCGTTTACTACAGAATTCCAATTTACCCGATAAGATCCAAATCGTGATTTAACGATTCAACATGTACACCCTTATCGCTGGACAAAATAAAATTTTGGAAATTTATTCGAAGGGGATATATCTCACGAAGGGGAGAAAAAAGACGCTTTTCTAACGGCGTCCCCACAAAAGGGGAAAACAGAGTTTGTCGACTTCTGGATACTGGAACGATCGAGTTTGCTCTCGTTTCATCTGGGATCTTCTTTAAGCAAGAGTCTCGGTAAACGACGACTCGATTAAATGCGATTGTCCTTCGAGTCCTTTAGAAAATGACTACACAGAAGCTGGACCGATCCGTTTCCTGACGACTGTTTTTCGACTCCTTCATTCACTCGCGGTGAATCTCCCGAATCTTCGTAGCCTTAATCGTTTTTTTAAATTTACTCTTGAACAATATTTTCTTTTACGTCGTCGTATATTACTCATTCTTTATATTTTATTATCTATTATTTAATGTGCAGGAAGAGAGTATATTTGTTTACGAAATTCAATCTAACTAGAGAGAAAGGAAAAATAAATGCTATAATGCTTAAAGTGATTTTTTTTTATTTCATTAATTTATTTCACAATTTCACTATTTTCGTCGATACAAAAGTATGGATTTGGAACAAGACTTATTCGGTTGCTTATCGATACATTCTGAATATTTTAAACTCAACTATTTTATTTATTTCATATTTAAACTCAACTCAACTCAACTATTTTATTTATTTCATATTTAAACTTCATTTGGTATATATTTATATAGGAATTGACATATATGTTTATGTATATGCGCGTGTACACACATACATAAAGTATGTGTGTACATAAAAATACAATTACATGCATAAAACACAAGATGTATACGAGACAGAACGCAAATTGAAATAAAAGTCAAAATGTTAAACTTGAGCTTGGGATTTGTGAAACACTTTGCATACCTCAGGCTAGACGTTAAGCGGAATCGAAAAATTCCACGCGGTTGTAAGTCTCCGTGGCGAAAATAACGTCGCATTCATAAAAGAAACGCTCCAGTTAAACGAAACATCGGAAGCTATTGCTAAACACGCCTCGCGCGGATTCTCCGCTCGTTCGGTGTAACGCGACCCCACTAGCATCGGTCGTCGTCGTTGTCGCCGTCGTCGTCGCTGGGGGTGTGTTCTTTTTGGCACGTAATACAGGACCGTGAATTACTACGGATTTCAAGGGAAGGTTCGCTCTTGTGCCTCTCTCGTGTCTCCCTCCACCCTTTCTCGCTTCTTTCCCTTCTGCTCGACGGCAACGGGGGAGGCCTGTCTTCGGATAACGCAAAGGATATCCGACACCTTCTTAAAATGCAAAACATTCCGTCTGAGGGTGAGAAGGGACGGGAACGACCTAGGTTGTCTGTGATGCCCAGGATCCTTATTGCGCAGACAAGCTCGGGCTTTGCTATACGAAAGCACTCGTAGTTGGACGCCCTTCGTCGTTCGTTTTTTTCGAATTGTCCCTTTCGCGCGCGACGTCAAATTCGATCGATAGTAGTGAAGTGCTTTCGGTAGAAGAAGACACTTTCTCGCGTTTCTTTAGCGTTCATCGGCGTGCTTTATGTAATTAATTGTAGTAAGATATATCGTGCGATAATGGCAATACCGTGAACTTATCCGGAATGTCTTCTGTTATTTTTTTCTTTCTTCACGTTCGGATTCTTTAACTAGTTTGGAATTGATTTTTTTCTCGACGGAAGCGCGATGACGTCGATATTTCTCGAGGTGTAAAAGCCCGATATTGGAAATCTAAAATCGCGTTTAATATGAAACGTAAAGTTTACTCTAGTAGAATTTTAATTGGTGAGTTAGACACGAAAAGACAAGAAAGATACACGCAGTAATGCTTCTGTGAAATTGTTTGTTGCGTTAAATACTTCTTTTATGCCGAAGTACAATAATATCATCCAATGCCACTAATAAATTAGAAAAAAGAAACATTATTTAAATCATTATTTCATTACAAATTATTTCAGTAATTTGCATTTTCAACGCTACGGATATTGAAGGACTGTTTGAAAATAAGCTGTTGAATTTCGCTGTATCGGTTTGCGGTTCGTAACAACGTGTATCTCGGACAACAAATTTTTATAGGTAACGTTTTACTGAGCAAAGTGATACGTGGTGAGTGGCGAAGGGTTTAAACATTAGCACGGGCCACTGCGAAATGTAAACGACGTTGAGTTAGATTGCGGAGAACAATGTGTGGAACGGCCCGCAAGGTAGATGAAAGCTAATTCAGGTGGAAGTTAAACAGAGTTAAAGGTACGTCCTTTACGTAGGGTAGGTAGGTAGGGTAGGTAGGTAGGATAAGGTAGGGTAGGTTGGTAGGCAAGTTAGGTTGGGACGTGCGGGTTAGGGGTTAGGTTACGAGAGTTCGGCCTTACATTCATCACAGAGAGGCCTTGAAGCTTTCTGGATCGGTATGCTTTTTAATAAAGAATGGCTGGGCGCGGGTTTGGCGCTCGGCTTACTCAAGCAGTATGCAGCGTATGAAATTTTGCCTCGATGTTACCAGTCAAACCGCTACGTGCTTGCCTAGCCATCAAATTATCCGCGTGGTGGAAAAAGAGAAACCGAAAAAATACATACGTACATTAATCAATTATGGAACTTTTCTCCAATCCGAGAAAATGAATGGGAAATTTATATTAAAGGGAAATGAACGTGGATGCGCTCTGGAGAAAGAGAATATACCGTGCTTTTATTTTACATTATTAAATGAGATATTTTATAACTTACCTACGAGGCTTTAATATTCGCCTGAGAGATCGTTCCGAATGCTAAATAAAATAAAAAAAAAAGTTTCAGAGGAATACATCATAAAAGATCAATAATTATATATTAGTTTTACTTATATCATTTTGATATTTGAAAGATCGCTACTTACTTATATCATTTTGATATTTGAAAGATAATTTTTTTATGATTTGAATCGTACATCGAAATCTCTTTCAAATTGATATAATTACTTAAAACAAAATATATATCGTTATACGATATCCTCTTTTTTTTGTTGACAAATTGTCCGACAATTTTTTTATACACTTGCAATGAGAAACACTGTACACAATGAGTTAACAAGAAATTAAAAATGTATATTCATATTGGTTCTGTTGTTTATTTACAAGGTATTGTAAGAAGTTTACAATACTTAAATGTATATAAGTATTCTTATGCATATATTCAATCTATAAGTGTTCCTTTTCTTCACAAAAAAGAAATAATATATTACGATATTAAAATTTGAAAATTATCAATTAAATTTTCAATTAATTAATTTAGTTATGAAAATAGATCTTTTCATTTTCACGCATAATACATTATTAGCATATTCATACAATGTTTTATATTGTTTAATTTATATATTTTATTAAAAATTAATGATTGAATTAGTTGTACAATTATTAGAAATAATTACAATATGTGGAGTAAAATTTGACGTTACATGGAACAAAAATTCCAGATCCATATTTTCGAA